TATATATATATATATATATATATATATATATATATATATATATATATATATATATATATATATATATATATATTTTTTTTTTTTTTTTTTTTTTTGCTCTGTTAAATGTCCATTGGGAAATATTTAAAAAGGCAAAAAAATTAAAATAAATAAATAATAAATAAATAAATAAAAAAAGAAAAAAATTGATAATAATAATAATAATTACAATAATTCTGACTTCAACTGTAATTCCCATCTTGCCCCACTTTATTTTATATTATGTTATTATGTTAAGTATTTGTGTTTATCTATATAAAGACTATTATTTAATTTAGCAGCAAGCTTTACATGATCATGATTTGGTCATTTTTAAAATGCTAATGGTCTAATCTGACTCAATGATCTATGCTAAGCTAAGCTAAAAGTGCTCCTGCCAAACCTGGAGATCGGCTGAATGGTATTTAAAAATAGTAAAACTCATCGTTTACCACTAGGTGAGTGTTCCTTTAGCCTAACTTTCTTTGTTAACCCTCACATTACCATCAACCATCAATTTGACCCCATTCAATGTTAAACTTTTGTACATATACAGATAAAATCAGAATAATTTGCCCCCCTGAATCATTTGAATCATTATAAAACACAACATTCAAAACAATCAGTACAGAGAGTGTAAGTAGTGAGGAACTGCTCAAGAGAAAAAAAAAAAAGTGGCAGGTGTAAGCCGATCCTGTATTCAAGTCATTGATGTAAGTGCTGTGAGTTTGAGGGTGCTCCTGTTCACTGATGTGGCAGCGAACAGAACATGAAGGGTTTGTTTAAAGGGCAAGTGTGTGTGTGTGTGTGTGCATGTGTCACCTTATTGTAGTTCCTGGCAGCCGATTCCTTATTCCCGGGTCTGAGAGCTTGCAGCTGTGCGTCTAATATATCCAATAGCTGCTCGATGAGTCTGACAGAGGAACTGACATCACCGGCGTGAATGCGGCCCTGCGTGTGGTTCACCAGCTCAGCGGCGATGTTTGCAGCGTTCTCTCCGCTCTTTATCTGCGCACATACACACACACACTAGTCTGTAAAGCTCAGACCCCTACCGTGCGCTGTGGGGGAGTGAGCCGGGGGTTTCTGGTTTTATTCTGCGAGACGCAGAGACAAAAGACAGCAAATCTTTAATGACTCTCTAAATCAAGCTATTACAAAATAGAAGAAAAAAAAACTGAATAAAAAAACGAAAGAGAAACCAAAGGATGAAACATGATAAAATTACTCACTCGAAGACTTGAAAGCAGAAACATAGACTGTAATTGCCTCAGTGAATTTGTCACTTAACATTTAGCTGGAGAAAAAGCTCATATACAGTACCACTGGGCTTATGAGGTGCATCAAGGTTCACTATGGGATCACCATATTTCGCGATGTTCAAAATCATGCTGTTAGAATGTCTTTTGTTTCAGACATCTTCTGAATTTAATGTGAGTCTAATGTGAACTTTTAAATGTCATTTCTTTGCCAAGGCAACAAACAGTTCTCTTTAAACTTCCCCTGAAACAAACAGAAACGTTTTTAAATGTTATTATTAATGTCTTATGTCGGGTGCACAACACAAGTATTTGTGTGAGTAGATTACATACAAAGCCAATGCAAATGCACAAGCAGAGGCTGGAATTCTGCAAGTAAATGGTGAAGCGCTAAAACATTGAGAAAGCATCTTCATTAGTTTGACAACACATGCAAATAGAGAAACATGCTGCAAAGAATTCAGACCACAATGGAAATGTGTTGAGGGATGCCTCTGTTAAGAGCCTGATGCCTGATGTCTTTGTAAAAATTCAATGATGTTGCCGAAGTGATTTATATATATATATATATATATATATATATATATATATATATATATATATATATATATATATATATATATATATATATATATATATATATATATATATATATATATATATATATATATATATATATATATATATATATATATATATATATATATATATATATATATATATATATATATATATATATATATATATATATATATATATATATATATATATATATATATATATATATATATATATATATATATATATATATATATATATATATA